ATGTTGGTGATGTAGGGTGTTTGCTAGGGTATTTTTTTAAGTTCAGAGGATGAGTGGTATTAATCCAGAAACAAAATCATTGCATTGAAATGGGAGACTAGTTTCGTTCAGCCATATGCAAGAGAAGTATATCTTGTAAGAACTTCTGTGGGTGAAAAGACATAATTAGGAGGTCACGCACGTTGAGAAGTAATTTGTACGTTATGACATAGGTCAAATTAGAATATGTTAACCAGTAGAATCGGTTAGTTAGGGCAGTCAGTAAAATTACTGTCTTGTATGTATTTTCACACACACACACAAAAATGTTTTAAGTAGCACAATGACAAAGACACACTAGGTTTTAAACATAGTTGACTTCAGTTATCCAGAAAAATCCCTCTCGTCCCAAGCCAAATAAGTGAAGTATTCTATGTGATTTGCCCATTTCCTCAAATGAAGAAGGGTGTGGGGGTTCTCAGCAGTGATTGCCACATGGTCCCCCTGTGCCCCTGCCCATCCCCCAGGATGAATGGCTAGGAGGTAAATCCTGCAAGGACAGAAACTTCTATCCTTTTTTTTCCCCTTTTCTCCAGCACCTGGCACCTAGTATGTGTACTCAGTAAAGGTGAGATGAACAAAAGAATGCACAAAAGAGGGTGTCATGCATGTGAGACGGGCAGAACAGAGTAATCTGTGCCCAGGACATTTCAGGACATTTCAGGCCTTGTCTGGGTCTGGAGACTGGACAGGGACAGTCCTCAGCTGCAGTGGGAGGCCTGACCTTCTAGACAAACCCTCTTCCCTCTACCCTGCCCTATCCTGGCCTAGCTACCACTTGGCCGAAACCGGGGCCACTGTAGCCAACCACCTGACCCACCCTCAACTTCTCCAGCTACGGACTGGGAATCAGCAGCCCATGGTGGGTGGTGACGTTCAGAAAGCCAGCGTGGAATGACCACAGTCAGCTCACCTGCTTGCCTTCCGTCCCCCTCCTCCTTTCTTCACCTTCTGGAACAGTAAAATGACCAGGCCAAAGTCGCAGGGCCATCTGGTCAAGTCATCCATGCCCCTGCCTCCACGCCAGTCCGACCTGACTCCACTCCCATGTCTGGGCCAGACCGGACCCCGCCGGGCCAGGCCCCAGGGAGGTAGTCATTCAAGAGGAGAGAGGCTGGGCTGCAGGCCGGGTGGGGGAGCCGCCCATAAATCAGGCCCCACTCCCACCCAGTCGCTAACAAGCGGGGCTGCCTACCCGCCTACGTGGGGTCCCTGCCTCTGGGCTCCCACAGCGGCCTGGAACAGCCAGCTGGCCAAGGCCTCCAAGAGTGCCTTGGCCTCCGCCCCCACCCGCGGCCCCCAGATAGATAGGGGTATTTTTTTTTTCGTTTTAGAGAAGAAAAAAAATAGACCTAAATGAAGAGAAACACCAACAAAGAAAGAGAGAGGCCTGCAGAGTCACGTGGGGGCAGAGACCAATTGGGCCGCTGGTGGCCCCCCCCCCAGGGCGGGGAGGAGGAGGACGGTTGGACAGAGCCAGCCTACTGTCCGCCCGCCGCCCGCCGTGGCGTGAAGGAGTTCCGTGTGCCCACGGTCACCGCTGCCCCACCTGGGCTGCCGGAGCCTCCCCTCGGACCCCCGATACCCACTGTCCACCTTCTTCTGGTGTGAGAGCTCGCCTTCCGCTCCGTAAGTGAGGGCCTGGGCCCAGGCCTCTAATGGCCAGCCTCCGTCCTCAGTGCCTCCCTGCGGCCTGGGCTGGCCACTGCCTGCTCTACTGAGTGACCGGTGCCCGCTGCTCTGGGCAGAGAAGGGGCCGGGGATCTCCCCAGACCTTCCCTCCCATCATGCTACCCCCTCTTTTTCCCTGGACAGCTGATAGGAGGAGCTAGGCCTATGGGGACAGGCTCTGTGGGGGCTTGGGGTGTCCTGCTGTCTATGGGGTGGGGGGGCAGTGTTCACAGGGCTATGTTGACCCAAGCCTGGTAGTCTGTGAGTGTGTCCATGATCCCTGGGTCTCCCTGCCTGCTCGTCTTCGCTGTCTCTGTGGATGTCGCTGAGTCTTTGTGTGGATTCCGTCTTCAGTGTCCGTCAGTCTGGGGTCTGCGGCTGGACCAGGTCAATGTTTGCTTCCCTGGGCAAGTGGGTGAGGGGCTGTGGTTCCCCACATGAGCTGGAACCTGAGGCTGAAAGGCGACTGCAACGGAACCCGGAGGGTCAACCCAAGTACCTCTGGGGAAGAGGAGGGTTAAGGAGGAGGAGGAAGGGGAGGACTGGCTCAGAGCCCAGCCCCCACCCCACTTGGTCCCCCAGCCCAGGCCCTGTTTCCACTGCCTGGGTCTTCCTCAACAATGTCCAGGGGACCCCAGTGGGCTTTACCCTAGAGAAGCTGAATGGAGACCCCTGCCAAGCTGTCCCCCTCCAATCGCCTTCACTTCCCCTGCACAGGAGGTGCTGCTCCTGTGCAGTTTTCCACTTTCTGAGGGCCCCTCCCTGATGAGCTGTTCAGAGGCAGTAGCTCCCCACTGCCAGCTCTGGCAAATGCTGTTCTTTCTCAGTGCCTAGGGGTGGGGGTTGGGGGTGGGGTCTGCAACTAACTGTGGCTCTGCCTCTCTGTCCTCCCACCTCACCAAGATTCAACCACAGAATCTCTTGGAAACGCAGAACCCCTTATGTAGTAAGTAGGGCCCATCGTTTTCATTTCATCTAAGGAGAAACTGAGGCTCAGAGAAGCGAAGTGACCTGCCCGAGCTTGCACAGCAAGTCCCCAGCAGATTCTGCCCATCATTCCGCGGGGAGAGTGGTCCGTGCGGAGTCTCCGGCCTGGCCATGAGCTGGCAAGATCAAGGCCCCCGCTCCGACCAAAGTGGGAGGCCTCCGACCCCGGGCTCAGAGGAAGCCGGCTACAGCCAAGGGTCCGAGCCTTCAGATCTGGGCTTTTGGGTCGGTTGTGTCGCTGCAGATGCATAATTGCTGTATTTTCCGTCTTGAAGATCGAGGCTTTTTGGCCTCGCTGCTCTCCACCCTCTACCATACCCTAGGTGCCCGAGGGGGGTGGCGGGCGGCAGGATGCCAGGTGGCCCCTTCTCTTGCGTCTCAACTTTTTCATCTGAAAAACGAAGAGTGACCGGGCAGACGTTCCCTAGCCCAGAGCGATAGCTCAGCCCGTCCCCGCCCAGGGAACCGGTTGTCCCCAGGGCTGCCAACCTCTCCCTTCCCCTGCCTCCAGCCCGGTTTGAGCGCAGAACCCGAGCGGGGAGGGGCTTCTCCTGCCCCGGGCTCTGTTCTCCCAACTCCCGCACCCTCGTTCGCTTCGGGTCCTCACCAGACCTCGGAAAAATGGGGTGTGGGATGACCACGAACCCCATTTCCAGCCAAGCAAACTGAGGCCCACGGAGAAAGGGTCTGCCCAGGTCTCCCGGATGGATACTGCTAATCGCCTCGCAGTACGCGCGCGTGCTTTGCTCACCACCCTTCGGTTCATTCGAACGACCACCCTCAAGGAAGGCCAATCATCATCCCACTTCGCAGATGAGCAAACTGAGGACCGGAGAAGGGGGGGTGTGTGCTTAAATTTCTAGTGAGACTTGAACCCGTGCCTCGGCCACGACCCCGACGTTCGGCCTTACCCACGTCCACGCTGCAAAACGACCAGCGCCCTTAGCGTGGCCCTCGCCCCAGCTAAGCTGAACTGGCAAACAGGGGCTCTCTTCCTGCGACCGCCAGCCAGTGGCCCGAGCCTCCCAGGCGCCCAGCACCTGCCTG